CAATAATATTATTGTGGTGGACTTTAATATTATTAATATATTAATTGTGGGGTTGCTTCGCAGTATTAATATATTAGAAGCCCTTATCCTATTCTCCTTAGGGTCCCTACTGTAGCTCTATATATACAGCATTAGGCTCATGGAAGAGAACAATGAGAACAATCCCACAATTTGGAAATATCGTCCAGCCTTTTTTCTCTCTCTTCCAAGGAGTAGTTCTATTTCTTGTGCTCCACTGATACAAGATCTAGAAAGCTGTTTGAGAATACAGTAGAAGATCTTAAGGTATATAGAGATTCCAATCATACATTCAAACCGGAGACCAAAACCAGCAAGTGACCATACCACGACGACCAGGACGACGAGACGAAGAGATCGCCGTCGAGATCGCCGCCGGACTCCGCCGCACGCGCCGTCACGCGCCACCGGGAGGCTCCAGCAGCTGAAGCTCAATCGCGCGCGTGTGAGCGCGTGTGACCTCCGATTTCCGATCGGTCAACGCCGTTGACTTCGCCGTGACGTCAACTTTCTGGATTGGTCAAGTTTGTTCGATTCCGAGAAGATTTGATTTGCGGTCAACTGTCCGGGCCAGCCAGATCTAAATAAATTTTAAGCAGTAAGTTTTCTTCATCAAACCTTTAGATCCGCTGCGCATAGGTTTGTGTTGAATGTTTGTCAGTGATTTGTGCATATCGAGATCCTCGTGGGTTCCAACAATTGGTATCAGAGCATGAGGTTAATCCGTTATGTACAGATCTGGATTAAACTGCTTAATTGTCTATGTGTGCTCAAGCGCAGCCATATATATTGGATTATATGCATAACTTGGTTTTGCAGGAAATAGTTAATCCACTATTATGGCCACCTTTTATGTGCTTGTGCTTGATTGATGGTTGGTTTTATGGTTTTAAATTTGTTTTTAAAGCCTCGGGATTGTCGAGGAATTATGGATGAATGCTTGTATTAATTGCCCGGGGGTTGACCGGATAGTTTAATTAATTAGTAGAAGGCATGTACATCCACTCGTTGGATCTAGGAATCGATTTATCTAATTTTGTAAATTATATTTTGCGTATTGTGATCGACCGTTGGAGACCGGACCTTCACAAAGATCCAAAGAGACTCGAC